CATCATAAAAATTGAGACATCATAAAAATTCAGACATCATAAAAATTCAGACATCATAAAAATTCGGACATCATAAAAATTGAGACATCATAAAAATTGAATGAATTAAAATTTTGTCGAGACATCATAAAAATTGTATGAATTAAAATTATGTCGACATCATAAAAATTATATGAATTAAAATGATGTCGACATCATAAAAATTGAATGAATTAAAATTATGTCGAGACATCATAAAAATTGAATGAATTAAAATTATGTCGAGATGTCATAAAAATTGAAACATCATAAAAATTGAATGAATTAAAATTATGTCGAGACATCATAAAAATTGAATGAATTAAAATTATGTCGACACATCATAAAAATTCGGAATTATTTTTACGTATCGACATAATTTTAATTCATACCATTCTTATGATGTCGACATAATTTTAATTCATACAATTTTTATGATGTCTCGACATAATTTTAATTCATTCAATTTTTATTATGTCTCGACATAATTTTAATTCATCAAATTAAAATTATGTCAAACATAATAAAAATTGGATGTATTAAAATTATGTCGGGACGTGATAAAAATTTGAAATTAAATTATATTTTATATATGTCCAGACATAATTTTAATTCGTGAAATTAAAATTATGTCAGGACATAAAAATAATTCCGAATTTTTATTATGTCCTGACATAATTTTAATTTATCCAATTTTTATTATGTTTGACATAAATTTAATTCATTAGTACGAATAGCTATTTTTCTCAAGACATTATTTTTTGAAACTTTTATATTATGTAGAATATTATTTATGCTATTAAAAAGTAAAACGGCGTTCCATAGTATGTCCATGATTTTGTGGTTCTTTTCAGGAAAAACATAACACAAAAAAGAACACAAAATCGTGGACATCACCTACAGGATTCATGGACATGGCTATGTTTTTTTTTACGAAAACTAATTTATTATTCTATATAAATATGACAGTTATATTACTATATACATATATTTGTAGTTCCTGCCTTACTAGCTTAATCTACTTTTATTCATTATATGTAAATTGAAATAACTTGTTTACGTCTTCAGTACTTTTTATTTTATTATTTAACATTATTTATAATAACTGCTTCGCGTCCAATCGCGCTTCGTTCGTGCCCAATAGTCGCTCTCTGGGCTTCTCTCTGCGCTCGTCGATCGACTATAACCTGCAAATCGCTCGTGTCGCGGAGCGAGCTCGCGCATTCGACTGATACTTACGCGACCGTACTAGAGAGAGGTATCCTCGGCGATTCCTCAGTGAGGCTCTGTCCCCGTCGTCTACGTGAGTCTCGTCATCGGCGGCCCTCGAGGGAGCACTTGGTCGTCGCGGAAGTATGCCTGAACGAAAGTCGAGGGCGAGCTGCATTAGCCGGAACGTAGGTTAAAGCGCTCCGTCATTAGGGACTGTCGGTGGAAAGTGCTGGTCGATTCGGTACGCGATGGACGTGGAGAAAATCGCGATGTTCGCCGGTGTGGGATTCGCCATCGCCGTTGGCCTCTTCGTCCTGTGGGGCCCATCGCCCAAGCCCAGGAAAAAAGGTGACGTCCGGGCTACGTTCATCAAACGCTTAGCGAGACCACGTCTCTTTTTATCCCTGTCTTTCATTATTCTTATAATGAAACTGCGGGGAAAATAATGTAGCGTTATCGATGATATCTTTTACTGTTGAATATAAATGTAGTTTTATTACATATAATTGTGTAAAGATTATAGAGAATCCATGTATAATTTCTATTTAATTATCTTGTCAGGTTTATTATTAAAGGCAGAATTAGTGTTTTTTCAATTTTGCTTATGCTCAATTATTGAATATTTTTCCTTTAGTTATTTAATCTCCATCAAGAGATATGATATGCTTAATAGAAACTGAATTTTGACGTTTAATTGTGACTTTATTTTACTGTCTGATTCTAGGTCAAGTTGTTGGGATCAACAATTTGGGATATACGTGTTTCCTGAATTCTCTTTTGCAAGCGCTGGCTGCTTGCCCCTCATTTATTTGCTGGCTTCAGAGGCAGCAGGAGAAGAAGGATAGAAACTTTGCTGACACGCTGCTTTCCGTTCTCAAAAGTATGGTTTTGATCCGATGTCATCTTGAATTCTGATTTTAAAATTGCAACGTCTAATCCTTAAATTTATTTTTCCTGGTTTTTTATTATTTTTTACTTGACAGCCTTAAAATCTCTAATCTGACAAGTATCTTTTGTACTAAATTTTTAGAATTTTTAAATTTTCTATATTTATGTTTTCATATCCTTGTTATATTGTATTGATCAATGTTTACCTGGCAGAAATCAACGGTTTTGCGGACGACCTGTATGGCAATGTGACACCCGTCGAAATTATCTCTTCCGTCGGCTCGTTGTGGAATTTTGGGCCTGGTCATCAAGACGCTCACGAGCTGTTCCATGTAGTTCTCAGCGCGTTAGATGCTGAAATGCAACCTGTGAATAGGGTATGCAATATTTCGATGTAATATTCTCGACAAAACATCGCAAACAAAAATTTTGTTTGCCTTCAACTTTTACGGCTACTTGCTGAAAAGTTTATTCACGATTTCAGAAAGGTTGTTTATCCGATGCACTGCCACCAAGTCCGATTATCAAACCAGATGTAAGAGGAACGGGTGATACCTTGAATCTCAGAAGCGCCTCCTGCAATGACATCGCGTCAGTGAAGAACAATTCCGACAAACCGAAGGGCTTTGATAAAAACTGCAACAATCAGATGATGACCTCGACTTCGTCCATACCTATGTCTCCGAGCACGTGCAAGCCCGGTATGATACTCGCTAGATCATCAGAGCTACTGTCGCGAAGCATTCAGAGTAACGGCGACTGCACGAACCTCTTCAAATCGTGGAAATCTCTGTGCGCCATGCCGTTCATCAACATTCCCTCGGTGTCAGTGGAGACGCATCCGTTCTCAGGCCTGATCACTAGCCAAGTTCAGTGCAGCAACTGTTTCTGGAAGGTATCGTCGCGAAAAAACAAGAGGGAACCCATTTTTCTCGTCGTCCTAGCTAATTTCCTTTGTATCATCCTTTCTTCAGATATTTGTTATGAATTCGAACATTTGGACATTTCTTCTAAATTGATCCAAATGTTTGTCAATAGTGATATATATTGTTTTATTCTTTTTGCTTCCTATCGAGATGATTTATAATTCTAACAATCTTAAATTTTAATTTTAATAATAAAATTCTACTCTTCCTTAATAATGCTGTTTTTTAATGTTAGTCTTTTTTATTTTTTGCAGTCTTCAGTGCGTTATGATAAGCTTGAAACCTTATCGTTACCATTACCACCACTCACTTCATCGTTCGTGCCGCAGCATCACACTTTAGAGCGGCTGCTGTCGCATTTTGTGGACAGCGAAATTGTGCGTGACGTACAATGCGATGGATGCTCATCGCGTTGCACTGCCATCAAGACTCTCACTCTCGGCAAACTGCCCAAGTGTTTATGCTTGCACATCCCGAGGACCACATGGAGCTCTTCGGGTATGCCAATTAAAAGGGACGATCAGATCACGTTCCCCGAATTTCTGGTGCTAGATCCCTACACTTATACGGAGACGAAAAAGAGAAGCGCGCAGGTGATTTATAAAAAGATTTATTAGTAAATTTATATCAAATAAGGAATTCCCAGAAATAGTTAATGTACAATCCTACATACTCTCAACTTAAATTTATGATTAACCAGACAGTTTAATTAATTTAATCTGATATCTTTATTTACAGGGCGACGCAAAGTTTCTCGGTAACAGTTTCATGACGATACAGGGTAAACATAAGTACCGGTTGTGCGCGGTAATCGAGCACCGCGGCCCGGTGGACTCCGGCCATTTCGTTTGCTTCAGACGTGGAAACAAAGCAGATCAATGGTTGTACACGTCCGACGTCATTGTCGAGAGTGTGTCATTGACGCAGGTGCTGCTTGCCAGTCCGTACCTGCTGTTCTACGAGCGCATCAAGAGCGTTTATCCTAGTTAGGAACAAATTTTCGAGTGATAGGCAAACTAAAAAATTACGAAATAACGCGTGATTGATAACCAGTCCACTCTTTTTAGCCATGCTTTCTCTCTTGCGGTTTTAAAGCGGTGCAATGACTTAGCGACGAAAATCATACGGAAGAATAGAAATTGCAAGGAATTATAAACAACAGTAGAAAACACAGCTAGAAAGAATGGAGGATTTGCGAAATACAAGAGACTGTCGAATTTTCCATAATGAGTTTAGTATCGTTCGATGTTGCGCGATAATCCTTTGTTATAATATACGACTACGAAGCCCGCGTCCCTAGGTGATATTTTATAGCAGCAGTGAAATGTATCCAGTAATATAATCTGAAATTCAGAAGTATTTCATTCGCGACGGATGCGTTAATAATTGCCATTATTAAACGCTGACAAATCTGCTGAAACAGTTTCGTGAAACAAAAATTTCTCGCTTCTATAACACATAGTGATAGTAGATTTCTACAAAGGAAGACTGTCGATTCTTATAAATCCTTTGATCAGTTCATCATTATATCTTTATTTTAACAAGAACTAAGATCGTGCCAATAACAAATTCTTCATATTAAATTTATTGAGGAGGATAAGCAAGATCTTGTATTTTTTATTACGTTTATATTTGGGACTCTGAGCCCTCGCGTATAGTGCAATTGTTAGAAATACTATTATCGAAGACTGCGAATTTATTAATTTGTATATATCAAATTATCCTATCTCCTTTCTCTGATTGGCATAAAGGAATATGCGAATTATCAGAATAAATTTACTTTAAGAACATTAGGTACGTAAACGTGTAATTTAAAGTCTTATAAAAAAACATATAAAGTAAAATAAAATTTAGAATGCAGGAACCAGATAGACCTTATCGACAACCATAGTAACTTTCCTTCCTCTGTAGTTTTAAAATGATTAGATTTTATTGAGATAGTTTTAATTGGACTTTTTAAATTGCGCATTCTTTATTTTTTACGTTTGTCAAACTAAAGTATGTAATATATATATACATATATATATATCAAACATGAATGTATTTTATATTAAATTTATATATATCGACTTAATTATTACACTTTACTATCAAAAATTAAATGAAAATGGTAATGAACAAAACATGCTTTAGTTTTACCCTCTCTACTTTTCTACTCTATTTCTTATTTTTACCCCACCTCCAACTACTAACCTAATTCCAACCTAACCTGCCCTAAGCTACAATTGTGAATATTGGATATTGATCTCTATACGCTTTATCCTTTCTCTTTTAATACTGTATGTGAATTATAAGAGGAATATTTATAAAAACGTAATTCAAGTTTATTGAAATAAAAGTGTTGTTATTTTTCACAATGGAGACATTTATAAATCCATAAATTAGTAGTTTACTTTACTCTGAGGTTAAGACAAAATGAATTTTTTCGATTTCTAAGAGAAAAGAACGTGCAAAAGTTCGACTGTGCATTAGATTAGATGATATATAAAAGTAGAGGTATGTAAGAAATTATATGTAGAAGTAATGCAAGTTAAAAGGTATTAAGCATTAACAATTTCCATTTATAATAGGGATTCTTCATTATCTCTTATTAAACTGCTCCGAATCTGTTACTCGTCGAAAAATTGACATAAGCCAGCATGACTGCCCCGATCAGCACCGCTATGGATAGCTTGAGCGCTGCTCTCAAGTCTAACATTATCCCCAATCAGGAGTATTTGCTGCAGGGATCGGTGTTAGATACCTCTGTGGAAGTACTGCTGCACAGACTTCGTGGTTTGTGCGATAATGTGGACCATGGACCAGAGGGATTCTACGACCACGAGATGTGTTTCAGCATTCGCAGGTACAATAATTTTGTTCATTCCAAATTGTTTTTGACAGATGTTGCAGCAAGTATAATCAAAGTCGATTTGCGCATTAAATTACAAAAACTTGTTTTTTTTAGAGGCTCTCCGCAGGAACAGCCGCTGCTGCTGCGAGTGCGACGTACCCTGGACCCAGGCTATGCAGACATGCCGTGGCAGCTGCGATACATCGGCCAGCCCGAACTAGGCGACAAATCTCGACCCACGATCGTTCGCAGCAGCATCGACATCGCTACAAGCAACACCGTAGTGGAGTTTCTAACCGAGCTAGGCTGCAAGCTGGACTTTGAGTACGTTACTCGTGGCTACATGTTTCGCAAGGGCCGAATGAAGATCACTGTGTCGAAGATCTTCAAGGTAAACCAGGGCAAGGTGCCAGAGGGCGTGCCGGAGATGATTTCACAGAGTTACTTGGTCGAGCTCAGCGTGTTGGCTCCCAGCGGACAGGACGCTATAGCAGAAGACATGAGGATATTCGCGGAACAACTGCGACCTTTAGTGCAATTGGAAAAGATAGATTACAAAAGATTGGTTCATTAATCATGAGATTTTCGTACGACAAAGAATCATTTCTATATAAACCAGTTTGTGTAAATTTTAGTGTGTTAAAAAATGGAAATGTTTCAAATCGCCATATAGTAATTTGAAAAAAAAAGGCGGAAGAACTCTTTAGAACATTGTTTTAATTGTAATCACATTTTAATATTCATCATAATATAAGATTTTGCTTTGCCTTTAAATTCTTTACTTAGGTCATGACGATTTATTAAAGGTTCTCTATATCCATTCATTAAGAGATACGATGTAAAAAAATATTTTTTTATAAAATGTGAGAAATAGCCGGAGAAAGTAATTACGAGATTATTTATGTGTATATATCTTGAAAATTTAATGGAATAACTAAATAAAATTGATATTTAATAAAGACAATAAGCAGATTAATGCAATGGTAATTCAAAAATTTGGAAATTCTGCAATTGTCAAACAGCTTGTTTTCACCCTTAATTATCTACCCTTAATTATCAAGCACTACCAAGGTAAAGATGGCATCATTTCTTCAATGGCGACAGCGCCAAGCGTCAATAAATTAAAAGGAGAATATATGCAGTGATGCCAGAGCACTATTTTTCGACGTATGCGCAATAACATATAATATATGATGACAGTAGCGTATTATTCGAACAACTCGATATTATTACATCTCTCATGGGAATAGAATAGAAAATATTAAAGGATATTGTACAAAAGTTTTAATAAAACTGCGATGTTCATTAATGGAGTCCTTTTATTTGGGTGTAGACTAATGTAGATGAACGCGCCATTTTTAGACCTCCCACACGAATCTTTTCGGGGGCTTGAATTAAAAAACCGAGTATATTTGCTGTAGAAAATTACAATCGCATTTCATGCATTATCTCATGCTCTCTGTATTATTTCATATATTACGCACGTCTAGAAATGGTGCGCTCATCTACACCCAAAAAGGACCAGCTCGATTAATGAATATTAGTGTATGTACAGGTTGTTGATAATAATGAGTTTATTAATTCTTGCGCCAACATGGGCCCCATAAAATATTCGGGATTCCATTTAAACTGGATTCAGACAGGACGCAAAAATAAGCGTCAAGCAGCGAGCAGAAATCAATTAACGAGGTGATATTTTCTACGTCACTGCTGACATCGCCTATCGCCTCACTGATTGGGTTGTTGCTTGACGCGTCCTGTCTGAACGCACCTTAGGCCCTGGCTACACCTATCGTAACGCTTTGATCGTGGTCGTAAGCAATGAAGTCGTCGTAAACCGAATATCTATTGCCAATTTATCTATAAACACATTGGGTGCGTTCAGCCGATACTCCGCTAGCTTAGCAATCGTGAGCAGT